TCCTTTGCTTTTCGCTTCTCTTCTTTTCACAGCTATTTGTAAGGCCTCCTCAGACAACCATTTTGCCTTTTTGCATTTCTTTTCCATGGGGATGGTCTTGATCCCTGTCTCCTGTACAATGTCACGAACCTCCTTCCATAGTTCATCAGCCACTCTGTTTATCAGATCTCGTCCCTTAAATCTATTTCTCACTTCCACTGTATAGTCAGAAGGGATTTGATTTAGGTCATACTTGAATGGTCTAGTGGTTTTATACCTGATAGCAAGCTGCTAATCGGATAAAAGAAATGCCTCAGAAAGAGAGTGTTGCACCAGGCTCCTCTCTCACAACATGCATTTTGAGATAGAATGGCACAAGGGGACTCACCTCTGGCCAGAAAACAATTGACATGAATCTTGAAGAAAGGCAGATTTCTAAGCAAATGAATAGTTTCATTAACACAGCTTAAGAAAAACATTTCCATGAGAAATACACATTGGTCAGCTCAAGGTTTGAGAAGAAGAGTTAAGTTCAGGGGGCACCAGGTGTCATCATGGGAACACAGGATTACAAGGAACCTTTTAATCTCATGGAGATAAGGGGGGAAAAACATCTGCCACTAGCAGTTTATTTCCTCCTGCCACTTGGGGACCCTGGTCCTTCCTCCCTGTCTGTTATCATTTATTTCTACCCTTTTCATTTAGGAGAATATGGCTACTAGGGAAAAGGGGTGGCAATTCTGTTCAGACTGCTTTGAGCTGGCCAGGGACACAGACCCTAAATTGTTGAGGCAGCATGTTCTTCTTACCCTCATATTGAGGATCTATGATCCAGGAGGCCCCAAGTAATAGTTGGAGAGGATGTGGTACTTGGAGGAGTTTGAACCACCATTTGTGACTTAAAAGCCTTCATGCAGCCAGAAACAAGTTGAAACAATCAATACATATATATATTTGGAAACTATGCACTTGATGTGCTAAGTCATTTCATCATGTACGACTCTTTGCAGCCCTATGTACTGTATGTAGCCCGCCAAGCTCCTCTGTCCATGGGATTCTCCAGGCATGAATACTGGAGTGGGTTGTCATGCCCTTCTCCAGGGGATCTTCCTGACCCAGGGATCAAAGCAACATCTCCTACATCTCCTGCACTGGCAGGCAGATTCTGTACCACTAGTGCCACCTGGGAAGCCCAATTATGCACTAGTATCATATTATACCAGAGATAAGGCTGATGTCCTCAGAGAGTACATGAATCATTGGTAATCAATGATTAACCTAGTGGATAGCATAAAATATTGGGGAATATTGGAAAACTAACAGATTTCTCTGGACATGGTTTATCTTGCCCCTCGAGAGACCAGTAGATCTAGGTGAGATTAGTTTAGAAAAGGGGTCTCATTTAGTTCAGAGAATCGTCAGAGCCCAGTATAGTTCTGGGTTAATCAGAGACTAAAGAACCTTTGTAAAGAGAACTAGCCTTGGGAATTAAGCAGTCTTCTTTTGAATTAGCATGTTTTAGTCAAAGGTATGGAATTAATGATAAGCATTGGTTAGGAATTCCTATAATGTCCTCCAATGCCAAGTGACCATTAACATCCTATTTCCCACTATTCCCTGATGAGAGGTAGAAGGCATAAAGAATATTCCCAGCTATAAAATAAACTGCACTCCAACACCTATGAATCCTAAGATAAATGTTTTTTTAATAGAAGAAACTCACTGAATCAAATGATTGCTAAGCAGAGCAAATGCAGTCTACATAAAACTAAGGTAAGAAACCTTTTATTTACACAGGAAATCAATGGCAGGATTAGTGATTTTAAGAGAAGAATCATTTTTCCTGTAGCCCCACTGCTGTGA